AATCCTCAAGCAAAGCCCACTGTGGATTTGCTCTACATCTAAAAAGCTGTGTTTAGTGCTAAGTACATGAGAAAGATGGGGCAGGCTGACCTGGACAAAGCCCATTCTCCAATCCCTGGGCCATGAAAAACTATAGGAATGCTATGGGAGAGGCAGAAATGACAGAAAACAGGAATTTCTTGTTTTCTTGCAGGAATTTCACTTTACATACTCCCAAAATAAGTGTGTGAGGGTTGAGAAAAAGAAACTAAGATCATGAAGAAAGATTTAAGAAATATTTAGAAGGTAGATAAGTCTTTAAAAGTTACTAATACATGGGGTGAGAGTGCCAGGAAAAACTGGTATAAAAGAACTCAAAAGTTAGTTCACAGGTAAGGCATGGATGCCAAGTTCCATTATTAACTTGCCTCATTCACAAGCGCATCACAAAGAGAATTACTGATGGAAATATGATGGAGGTCAGGGAGTGCTGGGAGGTTGATGATTTTAAATTGAGATGGAATCACTATGTACAGCCAAGGCACAGCCAAGTGCCTAAATCTATAGGATATACAGATGGCTGGCTTTGAAACTTGGAAAATAAATTTTAGCTTGCGATAGGAATCCCTGGAATATAGGCCATGATTTATGTAATGGGAGTAGGAGATATTACTCAGGGAAAATTCAGAATGAGAAGAAGCAGAACAAAGTAGAGCTCAGGAGGTCAAGGCAGATTAGTAAGAGATAAATATAAGAGACAGTTACCTGAAGGTCCTCATTAAATTACCAGTTCCCAGAGGATAGGGACATATACCTTGTTTTTTATAACCACCTTTTATTACAGAGCCTAGCATCAGTAAATTTCTATGTTTTATAACAATTTCTTATGGGGGGGGGAAGTGGGGAAGGTAATATATTAAAAATCAGCAGTTCAATTTTTTGGTCAACACTGTTTACAAAGGTGCCAGGTTATAAATAATATAGAATTCCCTGCTTTTTCCTTTAAAGATGCTAGAAAGTTGTATGTACTCTTTTTAAGATTCATTTTATTTATTTATGCATACAAGAGCTGGGTTATAGGCCAGAGGAGCAGTGGGTGAGAGGATTCACTACAGACAGCAGGGACAGGTATGCTCCACCATGTGGGTCAGCTCCCTGGCCAGGGATTGAACTCATGCCACAGTGATTGGCAATTGCTTGATAATGCTGAGACTTAACCCCTCACATCACCTGGGAGTCCCTGTACATATTCTTGTGGAAAGACTGGCTACATTATTTCTAACTACAACTCAAAATTCTATCATAAAAGTACACACAGTAATTTTTATTTTGCTAGTTCTGTATTGGCAGATGTTAAGTAAATATACGCTGAAAGAAGGACTGTTTCAATAGGGAACAATCAAGAGTAATGAATGATACAACAGGTCAATTTTAGAACTCAAAAAGGAGTCTGTGAATTTGGAACTAGATAAAGTTTTAATATAATAATGAAGGCAGAATCCAGATTATGATGAATTAAGTGAATTAAAGATAAAGGAATACAGCTTATTTTGTCAACAAACTAAGTTTCTAAACACACAAAGACTAAAAGAAAGAGTGGAGGATATGGTCAATGTTTGTTTTATGTAAACATTTACTATAAAATTAGAAACAATTTTTTACTTTATATCCAGTGTCATTTTACTTTATGAGCATTTTTTAAGGGACAATATTAGACACTGCAAAATAACTCCACTCATCATCACTTTTCACCAAACATCCATCACTAGGTCATTAGAGGAAGTGCAGCCACAGGGCTTCTATCTATGTAAGCACTCTTTCCCTTCAGAACATACAAACGTGTGTTTGTCTGGCTTTTAACTTTTGTCCCCAACCTTCATAGCTCTCCAGACTAGCCTTCATTCTTAATACTCTTTAAAGTGATGTTCTGCAGTTCTGAATTTAAGGACAGGTGTATTTAACCTACCTACAATATGCTGACAAAAATCTGAAGGTTCTAAACTTTCCCAAATGCTCAGTTCTCCCAATACTATTTGTAGAACAATCTACTCTTTCCATATTGAGTTAAGATACCTTTTTTATTCTAAATTCTCAACTATAAAACTGTGGAATCAAAACTCCTAATGTTCTCCAATTCAGTGTCATTATACAAAATTTTACTGTAGTTAGTATTTGGTTAAGCAAGTCTCTCACTACTCTTCACAACAAAATTTAGTGCCACTTTATCAAACTCCAGAAGAAAGTCTGTCAGGATTTTTACTAGAATTACCTTCAATTTATAAATTAACATGTAGCGGACATTTATAATATAGAGTCTGGCCATCAAACAACACAGTAGCTAATTCTTTCAAGTCATTTACAAATTTTAGTAGTTCTCTTGCTACAGGTCCAACACATCTAAGTCTGTATTTAAATTTTGTTCTAATGTTCCACCATATTTTCTATATGGCTATAGCTGATATTTCTGAAAACTATGGATGTTTATATAGTAAAGCTTTTAACTAATTGTCTTAAAAATGTTTTTCAGGTTTTTTTTGATAAACAATCATATCACCTTCAAGTAATGACTGACATTTTTCTATAGTAATTTTTATGACATAATGACAAAATATAATAATAATGCAGTTTTTAAAACTCCAAAAAGGATATGACACAATGTAGATTATGACCTCAAGTACTTAAACACATGTATACAGTAAATGTATTTTACTAGCAAGGGGGGAAGAACACGAATAAAAAAATATAACCACTTTTCACATGATGGCTAGCATGTAGAGAAATTACAGATGATTTTTCTTTCCCCTTTTTTTGTTTTACCAGTTCTCTCACAATGGTGACTTATTAGGTTCATAATCAAAGAAAATTAGTCTTGACAACTGTCGTAAAATGGAAAGTTACACTTCTTTATGTATTTTTAAAAATACTTTTTATTTATATAATTTGGCTTTTATTGCAAGGTTATAAACTCTTGGCATCAAAAACAATTGCCTAACACCAAAATTAATGTCATTTTATCTTTATTTCTGCTCATGTCTTTTTCGCATTTTCTCCTCCACCTTGCCTAGCAAAAATGCTTAGAATTCATGGAAAAGAGACCATCCAATTGCTGACCTAAATTAAGACTGTACTTACAGATTAAAAAATAGAGAAAGCCAGGCAATAAATTAAATCTGAAGAACTAAAATAAAACAACATGAAAAAGAAACCCTGGACTTTAGCTCCTCCTAAATTACCAAATAATCTAATTTAATCAGGCTTTTATGTTACATGATCTCTTAGCACTTAAATTCTATGTATAATGTTAAAGGAGGAAAAAAAGAGAAGTTTGGTTTATTTTTCTCACCGAATTTCTGTTCTTAGAATCTTCTAGACGTTCTAGAACAGTTGTCAGATTTGGGTCATCAGAGTCCACAAACCATATTGGTGAAGAAGATGGGTAAGATTCCTGTTATAGAGACACCTAGGTTAAATAAAATACATACAGACCAGCAAGATATGCAATTAAGCCAGACCACTAAACAATGAGATGATTATGAATTTAGATAAAACATATCAAGGGGAAGGAAAACACATCAGAATTCAGAATTCATTTTTTAAATAAAGATTTATGGTTTATGCCTGATGTTATATAATTTACATGTCTAAAAATGAAGCAGCAAGTACCTGTTAAGTAAATGATTTCAAACAGAATGCAATTAAAAGTTATTGCTTGAGAAATAAAGCATGGGGAAAAAAGCACCAAGGAAGATGGACTTCCCTCCTTTGCAAAGAAATCACACACACACAAAACTAACCAGGAAGTTGACTGTAGATCTAAGCAGTACTACTTCTGCCTTCTGATATAATAAAGTCACATTTCTAATCTTTATTTGGTAACAGCTCTAAATTTCTTTGTTCTTTATTTAGTAACCACTCTGAATTTCATTTGTTATTAAATCCCTACAAATGCTAGTTAAGTTTTTAAAAATCTTCCACTCACTTGCTTCTTGCTTCCTCAGCAATATAATTAGATAAGTTACTTTGAGAATTTTCTCCATTAGAAATTAACCCTGGGCCCTCCCTGGTGGCGCAACTGGTTAGGATACAGCACTGTAAACTGGCCACAGCTGTTTCTGTGCAAGTTTGATCCCCAGCCCGGAGATGATCCACATGGCAGTGATCCACATGGCATGGCAGACCTCTCCTGACCCACCAGCTGCTCCCCTCAGCAGTGTACTTCCTAGATCTGCCTGTCCTGTCTGCCTGTCCTGCTTTCCGCTCTGTCTCTGGTGATTCTTCTCACCACCCTTACACCCCTGGGTTTGTACCCCAGTTCTGTATGAATAAATAAATCTTTTTTTAAAAAAAGAAATTAGCCCTAAGGCCCTCCCTGGTGCTTCAAGGGGTTAAAGCACAGTACTATGAAGCTCTCTGTAGCCACTGCAGCATGAGTTCAATCTCTGGCCAGGGAAGTGACCCATATGGCACAGCAGACCTCTCCTGACCTGCCGACTGCTCCCCTCAGTAGTGTATTTCAGTACATCTGCCTGTTCTGTTTCTCACTCTGTCTCCAGTGAATCTCTCAACCCACACCTCTGGCTTATACCCCAGTTTCTGTATGAATAAATAAATAACTCTTTAAAAAAAGAAAGAAGCCCTAAAAGCAGTTCCATATATTTTGCCTTTTCCCTAACAATTTTCCATCCCATCTTAGGTTATAGGGAGGAACATAGTTTCTAAAGGAACAGGTTTATTACACAGCATAAGATAACTATATCAAACACCAAAAATTTTCATTATTTCATTCCACCATACAAACTGAATACTATCAAGAAATGCTATTACTATATATATACACACACTATATACATACACAAGTATATAATGACTTAAAAATTAGTAAACTAAGGCCCACCCTGGTGGCGCAGTGGGTTAAAGTGCATCACTGCAACCAAGCAGCAGCCTCTTCAGTGTGAGTTCAATCCCCAGCCTTGGAGGTGATCCACATGGAGCAGCAGACCTCTCCTTACCCGCCTGCTGCTCCCCTCAGCAGTGTACTTCCTTGATTTCCTGTTTTGCTCCCCACTCTGTCCTAGTCAATCCTTTCACCACCACCCCCACCCAACCCTGGCCTGTACCCGGGGTTCAGTATGAATAAATAAATCTTTAAAAAAATTAATGAACTAAGCACTCACCTATTTGTCATTTAACTGTTTGTATGTACTACTTTTACAATGAATTAGAGGAAAGTCATTATTATTAGGTATCAATTGCAGGACAACTAGTTTCTAGTCATGGAAAAACAACAATTTTATACACAGTTTAAAAAGCTTTGTTCTGGGAACTATAATCTAAATAGTAATATAGGTGAAGTCTCAAAAGTTGAGTATTTTAAAGTATTCTTTATTCCTTAAAGAAAAAAAAAACTATTTAAGGACATCTTTATACTTATTTAGTAGTGATTTACTTTTGTACTATCATTCCTATAGCTTGTCTGTGTCCCAAGGTAAAAGGCTAAATAAAAGTAAAGGCTAAACTATCTTCAAAATTAATCCTGTTCCTAAAGAAAATTACTTAATTTTGTATTTTCCTCTTCAATTTTTTTAGCTTAGTTGGGAATATACCATCTAAACCATTTCATTTTACTTTTGTGTTTTAATTATTAAAAAAATGTTTTTAGAACTTCATTGTGTAGATTAGTTTTTGTCTAATTTACTTTTGCATAAGCAAATTTACCCATATAGTATGCATCATTAGTGCAAATCTCAAACGGTGAAAAAGACAAAATTGTATTCTTGTATAAACATTTTGTACCTATGTTATAACAGCCCCACTTTGAGAATGTGAGCATACTTGTTTAAACCCACTATTTAGCCTATCTTCTCATAGGTTAGAAAAACAAAATATAGATGCTAACTAGTCCCAGCAAATTTTTTTGGTTACAATTCTCACAATGTGGTCTTAAGGCCAGAGTGTCAAAACAGTTCCAACTTTTTCTTTTTTTGCAATTATAGAGGTATTTAGCTAACAGTATAATTATTTTATATAAATTATATCAGAGATAGCTGAAGAAAAACTCCCATCCCCATATAAAACTAATTTGTGCTATGCACAAACACCTGCTTTAAAATTATTTGCCAATTTACAACCTCCAGCATTTTGAATGCTGTTAGATGAAAAATTTTTTTTCAATTTAAAAAATACATAAAATTGTGCCATTGTTCTCAGTAAAATCTTTTCATTTAGAAAATATAGCTATGGGCCCTCCCTTGTGGCGCAGCGGGTTAAAGCACAGCACTAAGAAGCTTAAGCTACCTCCACATGAGTTCGATTCCCGCCTGCCCCGAGGAGATTCACATGGAGCAGCAGACCTCTCCTGACCTGCCCGCTGCTCCCCTCAGCAGTTTACTTCCGAGGTCTGCCTGTTCTGCTCCCCACTCTGTCTCTGGTGAATCCTCTCACCCTCCACATCTCTGGTCTGTACCCTAGTTCTGCATGAATAAATAAATAAATCTTAAAAAAATATATAGCTATTTTGATTTAAAAAACACATTTACATGCAATCAATTTTAATGAATGTTTTAAACATTTGTCTAATGTAATTTATCAATAGACAATCCACATGAGGGTCTTTGACCCCTCATTTTGTATTTAATAGCATAAGAGTCTTGAGAACTGTTACTTTTCTCCCACCCCTCCTGAGAATTTCTTCCTTGGAAGACACATTCCTTCACCATTCCTCATTAACCTATGTGATTCCACTACAGCTAGTTTTCCACCTTCTTATGTCACCCTCCCTGTGACCCAAAACTTGGTCACAGGCTTCTACCAATCCATCCCACTCCCTGTAATTACCTGTCAGATTTAGGGCTAAGCCTGCCAAATCTGGCTTTTCTCTGAAACTATAGTTCTCTTCCTGGTCACAAGCATAAGCCTAGTCAATCTCTTGTAGTTAGCATTCTCTTGCAAAACAGAGAGGGTAACAAGAACAAAATTGTTTTTTTGAGGGTCACAGGTTAAGTATGCTTTCTGTTGTGCAGAAAACCCATTTCACTGCACACTTGCTCACACTTTCACCAATCTGACAAAGCTATTTATAAAAGTTCCTGTATAATATAAATTGTTACAGTATCTCAAGGAAACAATTCATCAGTTAAAAATTGCAGGCATCACTGAAAGTTTCAAAAACACTATGTATTTATTTGCACAAGAATTTAGCTATAGTTATTAAATATTCAAAGTATTATTTATAATAGGAAAAAAAAACCCTGTATGCTTGATACTAGAAAATGTGGCTGACTATTACTGCCATACAATAGAATAGCACACAGTAATTGAAGACTTTGTAGAGTAATGGTTATGACACAAAGCTACAAGACAGTTCTGTGTTAAAACAGATTTATAAAACTTTTTTTTTAAGAGGAGGAGAAAACAAATTACCAGGTAACCAGAAAGATAAATGCCAAAATTTGATAGTGGTAGAATTACAGTTGATTTCTTTTCCAATTTTGTTTAATTGGTGTCTCTCTCTCTCTTTAACAGTAAGATGCCTTGCTTTCTATATGCAATTCACTGCCTCTATAAACTGAAAATTCTACATTATGTTCAAAGTTATTCAGTGATCATATTTTTAAAAGTCTACTGTGAAAGACTTTTAAAATTATGAACAGCATCTAAACCTCTTCTTTAGTATTTTCAATCACTCACAAACTTTAGGCTTTTACATTTTCACAAGGTTAATACTTAAGATTTATATTTCTCTATCTTGGAGAGTTTCCTTACATTCCTCTTTACAATAATCCATGATATGCTAATTTTAAAAAGTGCATGGTGTTCAAAAATCCCAGTATTAAGTTCAGTTTTCTTATATCAAACTGTTTAAGTGCTTCAAACACAGACAGCTCTCTCTTTTTATTTTTAAGATTTATTTATTTGTACATACAGAACTGGGGAACAGGCCAGAGGCTCAGGGGCAGTGAGAGGCTTCACCAGAAACAGAGCAGGGAACAGAACAGGCAGATCAACGAAGTACACTGCTGAGGGGAGCAGCGGGCAGGTCAGGAGAGGTCTGCCACGCCATGTAGTCACCTCCGGGGCAGGTGGGAATCAAACTCATGCAGAAGTAGCTTTTAGCTTCTTAGTGTGTTGCTTTAACCCACTGTGCCACCAGGGAGGGCCCCACAGCTCACTTTTTTAAGCACAGTTACAAAAATTCTACACTTGGGCCCTTCCTGGTGGCGCAGCAGGTTAAAACACAGCACTAAGAAGCTAAAGCCACTTTAGCATGAGTTCGATCCCTGCCCCAAAGGTGACCCACATGGTGTGGCAGACCTTTCCTGACCCACCCGCCGCTCCCCTCAGCAGTGTACTTAATCAGCCTGTTCTGTTCCCCTCTGATGAATCCTCTCACCACCCCTACACTTCTGGCCTGTACCCTAGTTCCGTATGCATAAATCTTTAAAAAAA